GAATGAGAAAGGCTCCTCAGCTTCTGGGTCGTGCGATCAAAAAGAGCTCACCAAGTAATTGGGTGTGGAGTTCTCCATCAACCGGTACAGACTTTTCCGGACCGGCCTCTTCGAAATTCGATTCCCATGACCGATTCCCAAGCATGAGCCCAGTGAATGGATGTGAACTTGCCTTTCGATCGCAACCACATCATAGTCAGCAATGGCATCGAATACACTACTCAACGCCTTCAGAGCGAATAAGACCGCGTTTGGAGTCTGGCTTACCACAGGCGGTGTCTTCCACGCGCGCACTATAGCCCAAGCCTCACCACACCTATCGTGGATTCTCATTGACTGTGAACACGGTATCATACCCCTCGTACCAGGAGCAACAGAAAGTGTCTCTGCGATTCACAGTGCCGTGCCGAAAGGGGGACCCAGTGCGTTGGTCAGAATCCCTGCGACAGGGATATCGACTGGCACAGGTTGGCAGATCAAGTACGCCCTCGATGCGGGTGCGAGTGGCGTTTTAGTACCAATGGTACCTAATGATATTCTCCTTACATTCTTCTCTCGGAGCCAACAAGTGACCGTGATTAGGTTTCGACAGCTGAAAAGGCACGAGAGGTCGTCGCAGACAGCCGATTCCCACCTTTGGGTCGGAGGGGATTCGGCTCCCCATTCGCCCATGTGCACTGGGGCGTTGAAGTCTCTGAGTACCTCGCGACCGCGAACGAGAATATCTCGGTCATGGTACAGATCGAGACGCAGGAAGCAGCTAAGAACGTAGAAGAGATCGCCGCCGTTGATGGAATCGGTAAGACGTTTGCTATTTTATCAATCGACGTAGATGATCGAATGCTCCTTTTCGAAGATGTCCTCTTTGTTGGACCATATGACCTCTCTATCTCACTAGGGTACCCTACTCCTAATCCAGATCCACACCCAGACGTCGAAGGTGTTATCCAGAAGATTCTCAAGGCAGCTCATGGTGCTGGAAAGAAATGGTTCGTTCACGTGTTCTCTTCATCTGACTCCTGTCGAGTGTAACTCTGATTCTGGTCCTTCGAATCTAGTGCTATTTATTGCTCTTCGGGCCCGCAGGCTGCGAAACGGGCAGCAGAGGGATTTGATATGGTGAGACCGTTCACTGATCGGGATCATTATTGACTAAAAGATACTGATAAATGACTTTGCGCCAGATCAATGTCACGTCGGATATTGGTGCGCTTTCGCAAGGGATTTCTGAGAGCCTGGCTGCTGCTATCCAGTAGATCACAGAGCTATCTCCGATCATGAGCACTTGTCAATCATTCTTCCTCAAATGAAGATACACATATACACATATTCACGCTTTAGCAGCAATTTGTGATACCGGACTAATTTGCTCCGGCGAAGGCTCCATGCGTAGTCGGATGCGCCACATGAGATGTCCATTGGCTCCCTCCATCAACTTAATAATGGCTATTCTCAAACATGGCCTCAAGTCCATCGAATTCCAATTCAAAGCTGGAATTCTGTTCGATACATTTCCTCACTAACCAGACTTCGTCGTTCCCAGGTAGGGTAGACTTCAATTCTAGTAAATGTTCCATCATCCCGAATCGTGACTAACTTCGATGTTGGCAGGCATCCGTAAATGTGATGAACTCGTACGCATTACGAAAAGAACGAGCCCTTAACTAGAAACGCGATAATCGTTCCTCGCATTCGATTCTTTGCTTCTCATCAGTGTGTTTGTGTCACCGGGCCCATGGAGATTGAAGCTCGATGTCTGTTGGCGAACTATATGCTTCTTTCCCTAAAGTCCGCCATGTGCAGCGAACTTCTCTGCGAATCGTCGGGCTCCTGTTTACGTCGTCATAGACCAGGTATAAATAGGTGCGAGAAATGCACGGTATCGATAGTTCAAACCACCCAAGCATATCAAGCTCCATCTTCATCTGCTACTGTTCACAACATGCGTTTCTCCAGCTTTCTTGTACTTGCATCTCTTGCTGCCTCATCTTTCGCCACCACTGTTGCCGATGTCAAGAAAGGCTTGGATAACCTCAGCGCTTCCGCCAAAGACCTCGATGCGAAGATCACAGCTTTCCCTGCCACCACAGGCACATTTTCTCAGGCTGTGGTAAGATTCTACACTGTGCCGTTAGTCCTTTCTAGTAACTATCATCTCCATTTAGGTCATCCATAACGCCTCAGGCGCGACCAAATCTGCTGTTGAACAACTCACTACTACAGTCCAGGCACGCTTTCCGTAGCATTTCGCAGGATTTGTCGTGAACCATCATTTGTTTTTCAGAATGTATCCCCAGTAACCGACGCTGACGCTAACAACGTTCTCGACCAAGCTAAGACTTTACCGGCACTATTACAATCAATTCTAGACCAGCTTGTTGTAAGAAAGGGGGACTTCAAGAGACTAAACGTTCTTTCTGTGGCGCAGAAGGATGCTAGCGGTTTGGGCACCGCCATTCGGGCAGTGGGTGCTGCATTTATCTCGGCGACCCCGGTAAGCATCTTTCCGTCAACGAGGATTTTATGTACTTATAGCATCAATTTTTGTTGGACAGCCGAAGGAGCTGGCAGTGGCTAAGGATCTCAAGCAGAAATTTGACAAAATTCTTAACGACTTCGAGCCCAAGTTCTTCCCCTAGCGAGCTTGAATATCGTTCGAACTACGAGGGGGAGTCTTTTACTTACTATTTCTATTTTCGATTTACCTTGTTCGTTTATATCACTCTTCTCGCAATGCTACTATGAAATGATCTTTATGAGTTCACGATAGCCCAAAAATTGAAACAGTACTGTAACCAACTTCCATGCTACTTAGCGCATGATAAAGGAACGAGGTATCTGCTCCAATGCGCTACTTCTCTTGTCAAAGATTCAGTTGTGCAAGGTGTCGGAAACAAGAAAGGCACGCAAATGTCGATATCAAACTGATATGGTACGGGATCAGACAGTGGGGGCGTTCTGGCTTTCTCCTTTGCCATTGATGACAAGCTGGATGGCTCGTAACCGTAGAAGGGGGTACCTAGGCTACATACGGTTTGATGGGTTAGTAAGCCACAGCTCATTGTGTAAAGGCAATTAGCGGCAATTGCTGTCACACTGATGGTGAAGTGGTTATCATGCTTGCCTTCCACTATGACGTGCAGCAAGCGGCAGGGGTTCGATTCCCCTTCAGTGTAGACGAGTGGGAGTATAATGCTTTTAACCGCCCATACCTTGAATTCCATTACCTGTGATCCTCAAAATGACTTATTCGATGGTATTGCTCCCAATTGCGGGTATGGCATCAGTTTTGTACAAAATTATATTCCGATATCAAACAAAGTCGCAGCTGCTACCTCGAGCACCTGCTGGGCGCCATGCAAAACGTCTCAACGTCCTCTATACCGACCGGCACCCTGATCAGTTTTCCACTGATCCCCCGAGCCGCCTCCGGTATGCTCCCGTGCGTCATCCTCGCCGGATGGTCTGCAAGACTCCCTACGCCCCCAAGAGGGTTTGCCAGCGTAAACAGCTTCGTCGATGTGAGGAACTTCTCCGCCTGCGGCTCTCCTGACGAACTAGCGTATTGGAGAGGAAGGATCTGCGCCCTCGGGCATGGTTGATCACTGACCACACCTCACTGACAGGTCCTCTTGTGACCTCTTATCATCCTCGAAACCCGTGCATGCACGAAGCGATGCCTTGCTCATCAGAGTCGACTTTTTCTCTACGATATCTCCAGAACGCCCTTACAATGGCGCACCGTTTCTTTTCCATTTGTCGCTTTCCAGAGCTATGTTGTATGTAAACGCGACAGAGGACAAATCATCATTTTGTATCCACGTTGCTGAATCTCGAGACTTGGTTAAGCGACTTAGAGGTGTATATTACCAATATTTATATGACGACACAACTATTTTGTATACATTCATTCCGGATGTTCCTGTTAAATAGTGGGCGCAGCGAAGCGAGATCTCTTGGTGTGAAGTGTTCACATCTAAGATATACACTAGTAAATTGAGGTGACTACCTTGGAACACTGACAAACTTGCGCTTACCTCACGAGGTTCAATCTTCATCTACGTTTACGTCCCTAACACTAAATGAAATCTTTCCTAAACTTTTGACGAGGGGAAACCAACGGGCACACATATTCTCTGCCGCAGTCATCTCGTCGGCGCACCATCCCCAATGGACTTCGAAGTCAAACACGATAGACAGGTTTTCGAATAGAGGAAAATATTTCCCAGTGAGTATCGCGTCAATATCATCCCAATGGAGATTGGTCACTGTCGTGGCATCGTCCAAAATGTCAGAAAAGAAGGACAGCTCTATTCTCTCTAATGAAGAGCTGAATCACCGCGCTTGAGTAAAGATGCAATGAATGATAAGGATGCCATGGTGATTTCCATGTTAAAGAGGTATTGGAACTCCTTGAGATTGGGAAGATCAATGTCAAAGTCTATGTAATAAATTGGATTCATTAGAACTTGCATCTCGAAAACACTATCGAAAAAAACCGAGCACCTTGGTTAAATGGGACAGATTCATACAAACGGAGACACTGAAGCGACTCTAGATGTAGCCGCAACAGGAGCCGGACCAGTTGATCGAAGATGTTGAACTCAATTTTCAACACCTTGAGAGATAACGGGGTGGCATCGCAAAGGTCTAAGATTGTCTCCACACAATCGGGACGACCGATGGTTAACGATTCCAGAGCGAGTGAATCTGGAGGCGTCCAGCCATCGTCAAAGCGGTCACACATCTACAAAACAGTCGTTCTCAGACATGGGAACTAGAACCAGGTATGACTTATTTACGGCCAGGTATTGCTTTATTTAGGCCAGAAGCCAGAAATGGCCCATTCTTAGCCACATACATGGTTCTATCCCATATCAGGCCAGATATGGGACTGACTTTTTTGTAGATGCAGCATTCCCTCACATCGCACACTCCGTGGTAATGGCTTGATGAAGTTGAGATCTCCAGGTGTTTCAAGGTGGGCGAGGAGAGTGCGAGCTGAAGTGGGAGACCATCTACTTGGTCGAGTTGGAGATTTGCAATTGTAAATAGCTGACGGAAGATGGATTCTTTGACCTGAGTCGGGAATGATGAGATGTCTACGAATTGCATAGACCATGGTGAGAGGTTATAAATCCGGAGCCATTGCAGGGCCGAAGGCGTGTCAATAATAGCTGACAGATCTGAGGGAACATCAAATACGAGCCCATGATTGATGTGAATGGTGAGAGTGCGAATGTAAGATACGAGATGCGTGCTTGAACTGATAACTGACAGCAGCGATGCGCATTGCTTGGATGTACAAAGGTTGACATGACCAAAAATCCGCTTCTGGACCTGAGGAAGGATCGCCGGAAAGACAAGCGCAAAGGTACGTTCCGCAGCAAAAGAAATTTCGGTTCCCTCATATTCTAGTTCTGCAGTGATAAGTCCCAGGATCTCAGTTGGAAGACGTGAGGCCCCCATGTTCTACCAGGTATTCAACTAAGGTCCTCGATGAATTGTGTAATCACAGTCTGACAGATGAAGAGTATTCACCAAGCTCTGATAAACTGTACAGCCAGGCACGCGTAGTTTTTGTATGAGTGTCGTTCTTGAGTGGGCAAGAGCCTGTCAGGTACATACTTTGTCAATGTACAATAACTTTTCAAAGAAAGGAAGGTAGGTTTTTGCTACGCACGTAACACTTGGGCAAATAATGGTAAGAACTAGCTACTTCTGGTGGTGGTTGCAAGGGGGCGTTGGGGTAGTGGCGAGAACTCTTAAATATTCCATTGTTTGGAGGAGACAAAGGATGGAAACATCATACAGCCGAACGATGGTACCCTTGATCTTATCAACCCAAGACAATGCTTTCAACTGACTCGCCCGTCCACAGGTAAATATCGGCCTGTCTATAATGGGTCCTTTGTGGTCCACCTTTGAATCCTACACAACTGCATGTATTGATCTAATTTGCGCTCGTCTGGCAGAGTTGTCACAACCAACAATCATATCGACCGTAAAAAGATATGCCGTCTAGCAAGACGTGCCAAAGGTTCAAGCACCTTTCATGGGCGTGGTACAAAGATTAAGCCACAAAGAGACAACACCACTGACAATCGGCTAGCGATATAATGGTGTATATTGTATGTAACTGTGCAAGAATCGAACTCGCATAGGGCTTGGCCTTCGGCATATACAAGAGGCTTCAGAGGGAGTGGCTAGTACGATGTGCACTGGATGATATATCCTGTGAGATATTGAAGTTTTCCAACGCTGTCCTTCGCAATGCGCGTGCGATTTCGCCATTTAGAAGTTGTTCTGTAGAAGCAGGAAAGGCACACGTGATCGCGACGCGTCTCGGCAACCTCCGACCTCACTTGTTGTCAAATCTCACCCCAACACCGCAAGATAGTAATATCTGTGTGCTGTACGACTTCAGATCCACGGTATAGCATTGACCGCAGGATCTATCAGGTGGTGGATAAGTTCGGTTTGGCGATCAAAACCTCAGTTATCGATCTGTTAATTGGAGGGGTATAGCTTACAGTTCTTCCAGACGGGGGTTGGAGTGTTAGTGTCCCTACTACATTTCCCTACCATTGTACAATTAACAGTCTCCCTAGTATTTCACTTGGATGCGGTTATGGATGGTTGAGTTCCGAGCTTGGCATGGTCATCAGTAATATCGTCCAGGTACACCGTGGGAGACTGGTTCTCTGCAGACCCACCAACACGAGCATCACGCTCGACGACTCTTCGCAGAATGACACGAATATGGCACAAGACCATCCTGCTTCTGCCTGCAGATCTCAAGATGGATGCACAATCGCTCACGGACTCAGGAGTAGGAGGGATAAAGGACGGTGAGAAGTTCAGCCTGGATGACCTTGTGGC